AGGCCTTTGCTCCTGCCTACTGCCACCGAGGCCAAATATGCCCATTACTGTGTAATCAAATAGCCTTTAAGAGGTTCGCTCGGTGGGCTGATGCTTTGAATAAAGCAAGATGAATGTGGCATCCCTCTCCCCATCTGCAGAGCAGAGGCAATTTCTTTCCATCCCAATATTAATTCTCCTATTAAATTAAATAACACTAAGGGTTGCATAACATTCATTAAACATCACAGGCGCCCGGGCTCCCCACCGTGTCAATGCCATCCTCGTAACACTGCATTAATTAGCAACAGGCAGGCAAGTTGTTCGTCTGCCTTTTCCTTATTAATTACTGAGTGAAATAAACAGACTTGTTAATATTATAATCTTGTTATTCTAATAAAGAGGGACAGAAGGGCTCTGTCGGTGGAGGCCATGTTGGGTTGAGAGAGGGGAAATTGGAGCACGGGGGGAGAGAGTAATTCATTCCATAGGGCTAGCCGCATCGCTGGGTGATCTGGGTAAAGCTTGCACAACTTAGGACCCAGCAACTCAATGCAGCCCCATAAGCTGCAGCCTGCCAGATGTTTGGCAACCCCTCTTTTTTTTTTTTTTTTGGTACAGTCCTGAGCAGGCAGCAACGCTTTCCTGAGTCATGAGTTAGTCGCTTTCCCTGTCTGGTGAGCTGCGCCACCTTCAACGGATTTTAAAAGGGGGTTACACAAATTCATGGGATGAAAAGGCACAATGTCTATATGCAGACTCCATCTAGATCAGTGTGGTCTGTGCTGACTGGCAGTCATTCTCCAGGGTTTTCATCTAGGGACCTTTCCCCAGTTCTACCTGGAGTTGCTGGGGATTGAACTTGAGGCCTCCTGCATGCAAGGCCGATGCTCTAGCACTCTACCAATGTTGTTGTTGTTTAGTCGTTTAGTCGTCTCCGACTCTTCGTGACCCCCTGGACCAGAGCACGCCAGGCACTCCTGTCTTCCACTGCCTCCCACAGTTTGGTCAAACTCATGCTAGTAGCTTCGAGAACACTGTCCAGCCATCTCGTCCTCTGTCGTCCCCTTCTCCTTGTGCCCTCAATCTTTCCCAGCATCAGGGTCTTTTCCAGGGAATCTTCTCTTCTCATGAGGTGGCCAAAGTATTGGAGCCTCAGCTTCAGGATCTGTCCTTCCAGTGAGCACTCAGGGCTGATTTCCTTCAGAATGGAGAGGTTTGATCTTCTTGCAGTCCATGGGACTCTCAAGAGTCTCCTCCAGCACCATAATTCAAAAGCATCAATTCTTCGGCGATGAGCCTTCTTTATGGTCCATCTCTCACTTCCATACATCACTACTGGGAAAACCATAGCTTTAACTATACGGACCTTTGTTGGCAAGGTGATGTCTCTGCTTTTTAGGATGCTGTCTAGGTTACAGGGAGGCAAGGAATGGATCGACAGCAGAAACAGGGTTTTTCCCCTAGCCAGAACTCACTGGAACTCAGTTCTGGCACCTCTCAGGTGGGCACCATTGCCATTGTAAGAGAACAAGGGAGGCAGTCGTGGTGAGTTCCAGTACCTCCTTTCCTAGAAAAATAGTACTGCATAGAGGTGGGAGAAGGAGTTGAGTGGCTTCAAAGCTGGAAATGGGATGTGTGTGAGAGCGGAATCATCTGTGATGATGTGGAGTCCAGGCTCAGGAACTGTAGAGAAGCACAGAGGGAGAATGCTATCTGGTGACTCCAGCCTGAAAGGGATGACTGATGGGACTGTGTATGAATGTATTCCTGGATGGGATCTGACCTGGATGTGTGGGGGCAGGGAAGCGACCAGAGACTGAATTGCTCCAGCATGGAGCTGGAGGAGCTTCTATTTTGATGTCTCACCCAGGGCTCCTAAAATGTCTGATGTACGTACGTTGTACACTGTGATGGGAAAACAGCTGGCTTCCAAGAGGTGCTATACACCTGAACCTGTTGTACCAGTTTCTGAAAAGCTGCTGGGGACTGGGACCCCACACAGAGGTGATACCACTTGCCCACCCAGATCTCTAGACAGTCAAGTCCCTCACTGATAGGTTTCACTCAGTGCAGCTTAGCTGCAATATGGGGGTGAGGAAGTTCCCGAAGATACCTCTCCCCCTGCCTACCCACATTTGTGGTTGTGCTGCTCTGCCTCTTCTTCTTTCCTTCCAATTGGTTGGTAGGGGAGGGAGAAGCAGGACTGTGCTTACTGGTGGCAAAGGAAGGAACTGAGCCACATGGTGGAGAGTCTCCTGCCTGCCTGAACACAGTCATTCGTTGAATTTTGCATTTTTCTGAATTTTGCAGCGCAGTTCTCCAGCCAAGTAATATATATATATATAAATGCATATAACAGGGCCCAGTGTGCTTAAAACATACACTTATTAGTGAAAATAGCATATAAAAATATATTATAATAGAGGAAAATGTTTTGCAAAAAAAAAAGTGTGGATTGGACAAAACTGCGTTTAAAATGTGTATAGTAGAATAAATTCACACTAAAATGCGGGTGACTCTTCATTAGGACTTTTGAAAGACACACAAACACCCACACAAATATGTGGAAAAATGAGAACAGAGAAAACAAAATCGACAGGTTCACCCATCCCTAAATGGAAGGAAGGAGAGCAGTAGGGAAGGGAGAAAGTGGATGACTGGTCCTTTTAGTTGAGGAGTAACAAATGGTTTTTGTTTTGTTTTTTAGCGGGGGAGGGCTCATGAATTGATAAAGGTACAAGAATTAATCACAAGACAGAATCTATTAAATTGGCTGCCATAGGTTCACTTGATCTGAGGCTTGGTTTGCTTTGTGACCCAGAGCCATCTGCTTTGGGTAGATTTTGAGTCCTGTTTGTGCTGTTCACTAATTGTCTTGTGGCTGACTTCACCTGCTCATGCTAGGTACTCTTTCTTGCTTTGTGTCTGGGCTAGTCTGGAATATGTTACAATTCTGTGCATTCTTACTAGGCAAGCAAATCTCGTGGAAATCAGTTGCACTTATTTCTGATTAAATAAGGTGGATTGAAATGGGCTGTAAAGTGATCCCTCATGGATAAAAGCAAGGCAAAAAAACAACCAGGGGGTGAATATGTATAAGTCTATAGGATATAGCAATGACAAACCTAGACAGCATCTTAAAAAGCAGAGACATCACCTTGCCAACAAAGATCCGTATAGCTATGGTTTTCCCAGTAGTGATGTATGGAAGTGAAAGCTGGACCATAAAGAAGGCTGATTGCCGAAGAATTGATGCTTTTGAATTATGGTGCTGGAGGAGACTCTTGAGAGTCCCATGGACTGCAAGAAGATCAAACCTCTCCATTCTGAAGGAAATCAGCCCTGGGTGCTCACTGGAAGGACAGATCCTGAAGCTGAGGCTCCAATACTTTGGCCACCTCATGAGAAGAGAAGACTCCCTGGAAAAGTCCCTGATGTTGGGAAAGATGGATGCCACAAGGAGAAGGGGATGACAGAGGACGAGATGGTTGAATAGTGTTCTCGAAGCTACCAGCATGAGTTTGACCAAACTGTGGAAGGCAGTGGAAAACAGGAGTGCCTGGCGTGCTCTGGTCTGTGGGGTCACGAAGAGTCGGACACGACTAAACGACTAAACAACAACAGCATAGGATATACTGCACTTTACAGCTTATATATGCATCATACTTCAGTTCTTTGGCTATGAGAGGCACGTATTTTGCCCTATGGAAAAGGATGCAGGTGGCAATAGATTGCAGATGGTCTGAGGACTTAATCCACACACATTGTACAGGGCAACATCCAGTGGGATCTGATCGCACTTCTAGACAGTATCCATTTCCAAGGATAAGCCTTTCAGTACTGTGGACCCAATTCAGCAAGTTTCCTTTGTAGTTTCCCATTTGTATTAAAATATCCACAGAAGATGAAAAAGGGAAAGTACTGTTGCCTAATGTAACTCCAAATATTATTTACAGGGGGCATCATAAATACCTTCCAACTCACCCTTATACCATCCTTGCTGAGAGAATAATAGGGTTAACTTTATTTTCTCTGCCTTCCAATTAAGGTTTCAATTTTTCTTCTAGAACATTTGTCAACTGTCTGTTTGCCCTAAACTTTAACAACATCGTTAAACTTGTCCATACCTGCCACGTTTAGTAACCATTCCCTAATCAATGGAATGTTCTATTTTCTCCAGCTAGGGGCAATACACATCCTCATAGGAGAGGTAACTGTTGACAGTCTCTGGTGAATTCCATTATTTTTATTTATTTAGAAGATGTATGTATGTATGTATGTATCATATTTTAATTCTTTATATCCCTGTTTACAATATTTAGAAAAGAATTACAAGCTTACAACAATGAAATGCTTTAAATAATAAAGTAAAACAAACGCAACACATCTTAGGAAGAGTCCAAATGCCTTTTAATCCTTCTATGTTTTACTTTGGATTTTGTTTTAAATTTATTTATCGCAAGGCATCCAGAAAAAATTATGTTGCTGGGTGGGATCATATGGGAAAACAGGAAGCTTCCTTATACTGAATCAGACCCTTGGTTCAACTCACTCAGACATTGCCCAGTCAGGGGCTCATCATGGTTTCAGGCAGGGAATATTCCCAGATCAAACAGGAGATGTTGGGGATTGAACCTGCATGCAAATTTGGCAATGTTTTCAGATCACATAGACAGGGGCACAGTAGAAAAGGCTGTCCCTGAAATCTGCCAATAGGAAACCCAGCCAGATGGGTGGCGTATAAATAATACAGTTATTATTATTACAGTGGTACCTCTAGATGTGAACGGGATCCGTCCCGGAGCCCCGTTCACATCTAGAGGTAAACGTAACTAGCGATGGCACATCTTCACACGCGTGCGTCGCTTTTTGCCACTTCTGCACATGCGCGTGATGTCATTTTGAGCGTCTGCGCATGTGCAAGCGACAAAACATGGAAGTAATGCGCTCCGTTAATGGGTTGCCGAGGAGCCCAACTCGAATGCGCTCAACTCGAAGCATATTTAACCCGAGGTATGACTGTATTATTATTATTATTATTATTATTATTATTATTGGATCTTTCAAATGATGGGCCAGAGGGCACAGCACTTGATGCCTATCTGCTATTATTTAAAACAGCCAAAACAATTTAAACAGCCTCTCATTAATCAAGCAATCAAATCTCTAGAAAACATCTAATAATCCCATTTTGAAGAAATTGTCTAGGGGTTCACCAGTGAACTTTGGCATTAAGATGGGTTGTGGGGTCCTGCATGCATAGATTGCTGGGTCATACTTTCCCAGAAATTGTTGACAATTGTTAACAATTCAGCTTATCTTGCTCGAAATTTATTTATTTCGACTGCGTCAGACCAACACGGCTACCTACCTGAGTTTATCCTGGTGATATTCCCTGGTCATGCTTAACATAGCAGTGCTAGGTTTGTGACACCTATCTGCTTTGTGGATAACTGTCAAACGCCAACAACATTCACTGGTGTATCTCTGAGAAAGCCAGCATTTATACAGAGAGAAAAATAACATTGCCATTCCCAAAGTGTGTGCTGAGTCGACATTTGTCTCTTTTTGGACTTTCGCCGTAACTTATTCCATTTATCTTCAATCTGTCTCTTATTTATTCAAGGGAAATGTTAGGAAAGATGGGAATAAATCTAAGATGCCAATCCCAACTATCATTTCTCCCTCTGCCCAGTATGCATCATTCATTTCCGCCAGCTTGGAGCCAGTGGTCAGCCAAATAAATTGTTTTGCTTAAGTGCAGACTGTTAGAGGCAGTGTTGAACTTAGACCCAGTTTACACATTTAGCAGAATGCAGAAAGCTATTTTTAGACTATACCTCTTTAGGTTTCAGGGGAAGTGGGGAACTTGCATGGATGAATGTCGCCTTATGGGAAAATAAAACTCCTTCCATGTTGAAAATGCGTATGGTTTTCCCCCTTTCCCCTGACAAACGTCTCCTTGCGTGTGTTTTTTTCCTGCATAAAGGAAGAGTTCTCCCTCCATGGGGGGGGGGAGCATTTAAACATACAAAATTGTCACCTGCAGGCTGGAGAACAGCTGCACCACTTGATTCTATTCTATGTAGACACTGGGAGTAGAATTCAGTGTCACACTAATAGTATGAGAGGCTTCTCCTTCCATACCATACATTTAAAGCACTTGGCTTTCCCCCAAAGAATCCTGGAAATTGTAGTTTGTTAAAGGGTGCCGGGAATTGTCGCTCTGCGAGGAGTAGACTGTAGTTCACAGGATTCCTTGGGGGAAGCTGTGTATGATTTGGATGGGACCAAATCTGATAGTTATCTGTTTGCACCATTCATTCAGCTGACTTGGTTTAAGACTACAATTGAGGGCCTATTCGATTTGGGGGGCAGGTATCTCTGTGCTGCTGCATCTTAAAGGCTTCATGGTGAGTTTCTTTCTTATGGTTTATTTTCCTTTATTTTCCTCTCAATTTTCCAGGATTTAGCAGTTGATTCTTTTCCTGATGCTGCTGATGTAATGACGCTCTTTCATCCAGAGGGTGGTGTCTAATAAAACATCTTGCCTTTTTCACTTTTTAGCTTGGCAAGCCGATTCTGTGTTTGGTAGCCCTCTGCTTGTGGAAACATGTGGGGATATTTCCCCCCCCCTCTCTCTCCATTGATATACTGTACCACAGTATTAGGATATGTGAAAGGGCACCTTTTCAGTTCTTTGGAGAGGGCCATCTGATGGTTTCATTTTTGTTCGAGGTTGCTGTGAAAGCTATAAGTAAGTTGTGGTTCACTGATGTTGAAAAGCAATCCAATTAACAACCCAAATATAAGAAAATACCCATGGATTTACACAAATTAGCCCACTACTTTAATTCAACTAAGTCATTTCCCCCCTCAAAGGGTGGGGAATGTACGGCTTGCAAAAAATGCAAGATCTAAGTGCTTGCCCCCATGTAATCTCAAGGGTGTAATTTGCCCTCCCCTCTTTCTGAATGCACCATAAATGGCTATTTTAATTATATGTTTCTTGGATATAATGTAATGCGCTGACTAAGCTAAAAATAATGAAGTTCTACCCTACGATTCCATATTTAGAGTGCCTGTCTGAGGTTCATTAGTTAGGGAACCCCATTTCTATATGGTATGATCTGTTGATTTTTTATTTTTTATTTTTTGCTGATTCACATCCCCTATAAACAGAGATGAAGTGGTCTGTAAATTTTCCAGACTAAGTTTTTGAAGATAGTTTTAAAAGGTTGAGAAAGACAGCTGAGAGGACTCCTAGCATATCAACAGCCACAGCTGCTGCTACAAGTATCGTGTAGCTGCTACTGCAACTGTTTGAGATAAGTGTAGGCCTTGGAATTAATACTGATGAAAGGCAGGATATGAACATTTGAAATAAAGCAAGCAAACAAACATGAAATGAACCAACCACTGAAATAATGTTGATACCCTGGTGTAGTATGTATCTCACCACTCTTGCGTTGTATGTATCCAGCTAACTTCCATTCAGAATCGACCCATTGAAATGTATGAATCCAAGTCATGTCTATTAACTTTAACGAGTATACCCTGTGCAGAATCAGCATTGGATACTTGCCTTTGTTTTTCATGAGTGTGCTGTGTATATATCACAAGTGTTCACTGCTGGCACATTAAGAACAAATTAAGAAAAGGCAATAAATGTCAGGCCTCCAAGAAGCAAAGCATTTCCAAGTCTACAATGGCCACTGTACTCTCACTAGTTTTCATTATCAAACATGTGGTCCTCAGATCTTTACTATCCCACTTTCTCACTGTAGGATCTGTAGGGGATATGGAAGCCAAAGAGTTAGGGGAAACATCACCAGACACTGCCTGCTTGCCAGATCAAGCCACCCTTCTCTTCCTTTTAGATCCAGGTACGTAGATGATCCTCATACTGTAAGATAGCAATGGTGGGAACTTGTGGCCTTCTAGAGCTTATGTACTCACAACTCTCTTCAGCCCCAGCCAGCATAACCAATGGTAAGGGATGATGGGAGTTGGAGTCCAAAAACAAGTGGAAAACCACAAAGTATTTCCCATTCCTCCTATAAAAGGTCCTGGAAGTCAACTTGCTTCTCACAGAACTGCTATTATCACCATGTCTTTGTAATAAAAAGCCAATCAAGAAGATCTTTTTGAAATGGGAACAAATCAAACCTCTGTTGTGATTTATGGAAGGGTTTGGAAATGGGATGCAGGTGGCGCTGTGGGTTAAACCACTGTGCCGTTTGGGCTTGCCAATCAAAAGGCTGGCGGTTCGAATCCCCATGACGGGGTGAGCTCCCATTGTTCGGTCCCAGCTCCTGCCAACCTAGCAGTTTGAAAGCAAGTGAAAGTGCAAGTAGATAAATAGGTACCACTCCGGCAGGAAGGAAAACGGCATTTCCGTGCGCTGCTCTGGTTCACCAGAAGCAGCTTAGTCCTGCTGGCCACATGACCCAGAAAAACTGTCTGTGGATAAACGCCAGCTCCCTCGGCCAGTAAAGTGAGATGAGCGCCACAACCCCAGAGTCGTCTTGACTGGACTTAATTGTCAGGGGTCCCTTTACCTTTACCTTTTGGAAATTTTAGTGCTGCTGAGTGCTGAAATGGAACGTTTCCTGGATCTTGAAAGTTCATGAATATCCTTCTTAAAAAAACAACCCTGTTGACTTTGAACTCAGAATCATTGTGATTGCTGCAACTTTGCTTTGGGCACAGAACCCCATTCTGGGGCTGATGGGAGTTGTAGTACAGAGCATGTGGAGGGCACCAGGTTGAGGGAAGGCTGACATGATGACCCATTAAAGCACCTTAGAAAGATTGACAGTTTTGAAAAGGGAGTCATCCAACACCTTACCCATCATTTTTTGATAAACGTTTGACCTGCATGATTCCCATGCAACAATTCAAATCTTTTTCTCTGCATTTGCTTCAGTTCTGCTTGCTAGTGAACCAAAAATGCCCTGGTCAATCTCATGTCTAGTCTAAATCCGCAGGGCTGGTGTAGAGAAAATGTGCCTCCCCCCATGCTGCTTGAATGTTGGGACTTGCCCATCATTTCTGACCATTGGCTATGCTGCCTGGAGCTGATGGGCGCTTGAGTCCAACTGGTATCCCCACCCCTGCCCTAGGAAACAAAATGGTAAATAAAGCTAGATAAAAGGCCCTCTGAACTTGAGTTATTCAGGTGGTTGGATGAGGTAGGTCCATGGTAGATTAAGAACTGATGGCTCCATAAAAAAGGCAAATAGTAGCATTATTTTTATACGGATAAGTTGTGTGGTTTCCAAAGCTTGTTTGCGCACGTGTGATGTCAGGCAAGTCTTCCTGAACCCTCAAGTTCCTCTGAACTTTCTTATCTGTTTGCTTTTTCCTTATGCATAAGGAACTAGCGTTGAGAGGAGTCATATGCATCAGAGGCTGTGCTTGCTATCACTTCATCTCTTGCAAACAAGTCACTCAACAGGCTGTCATCAGCCCTTCTTTCTTTCCGCTGAGGGTGTGCAGGGTGAGGAGAGAAGGAACCAGCCAGCATTCTTGAGGGGGCTCTTCAAGGAAGGTGCCTTCGGTGGTGATGACGCAACCTCAAGCTATCCCGGAAAGCCAAGGGAGGTGTGATGGTGACTTCCAAAGAGTGACACGTTCGGGCCCAAACAAGTCAAATTGCTGGAAATGCGGCAGACGGGAAGGACTTCACACACCCAGTGCTTGCATTTTGTCCCCAGGCCAGCTGTTGAGGATGGGGAAGGCTGTTTACAAGTGACAAGGATGCAATTTATTACTCTTCCCCTGCTGTCTCTTTCGGTAAGGATCCATTTCCCAGATTAACAAATTCCTTAATAAAGAGGGCTTGCAATTAATCTGTACTGCTGATACATTCATCTCCATTGCCCTCCTGAACAGGTAGATGGTGAGCAAAGAGGGGAGAGAATGTTCCACAATGGCTATTTCCACAGGGACAGCAATGCCTCATCTGAACCCCTTTTTAGAGGTTCCTCATGCCAGGTACATCTAGCCTAGCACTGACCAGTGCTCTCCAGAGTCTCAAGCAAAGGTCTTTCCCATCACATGATCTTTTTTTTTTTACTAGAAATGCCAATACTCTCTGCATACAGAGCATGGGCTGAAGCTCTTGCTGGAGGTTATGGAGCTTGCAAGAGCATCTCCGACTTCCCATCCATAGAGGAGAAGTGAGAATCACTATCACACATAGCTAGAGAATATTTTTTGTATAAAGCTTAAGTTTGAGGGCTCTGGATTGGGACAGGTTTTCTCCATTGTGTACTTTCATCACTGCCTGAGATTGGAACATTTTAGGAGAAAGTGGCTCTCTAGAATAACTTACCATGTTTTTCTTTCCATGAAGATGCGCTTATCAATGTGAAATCATGAATGCTTCATCTACCTAAGCCAGTCTTCCACAATCTGGTGCTACTGTTTCCATTATCCCTGACCACTGGCCATGTTGGTTGGGTCTGATGGGGGTTATAGTCCAAAGGAGGCATCAGATTGGGGAAGGTTGGTCTAACTCATGGGTAGGCAAACTAAGGCCCAGGGGCTGGATCCGGCCCAATTGCCTTCTCAATCCGGCCCGCGGACTGTCCGGGAATCAGTGTGTTTTTAAATGTGTAGAATGTGTCCTTTTATTTAAAATGCATCTCTGGGTTATTTGTGGGGCCTGCCTGGTGTTTTTACATGAGCAGAATGTGTGCTTTTACAGTATTTAAAATGTATCTCTGGGTTATTTGTGGGGCACAGGAATCCATTCATTTTTATTTTTATTTTCCAAAATATAGTCCGGCCCCCCACAAGGTCTGAGGGACAGTGGACTGGCCCCCTGCTGAAAATGTTTGCTGACCCCTGGTCTAACTCTAAGCAGTAGTATATGCATTTTTCTGCATTCCCCATAATATACTCTCATCCTCCCCACAGCAATATCAGGAAAGATGCCCACAAGCAGGAAGTACGTATCAGGTTTCCCGTCATCTCACTGAATGGGGTGGAAAGATCTATTACTAATGAATCAGTGCATCACTGCAGTGTGGAAGGTGAGTGTGATGCAAATACCTCTCAGCTGCACTGTTTTGACTGGGAAGCTCACTTTTTATTTTACTGCACCATCACAGTCTAGATATTGTTCCTGAGTGTTTTCAGCAGCCAGCCGCATGAATGGATGCATCCTTACCAGTACTTTAAGAAACAGTGTTTAAAAAAGCAGAGTGTTGGCAGCACTGTGTCTGCTGGTATGAATTACTGACTGAGTTAATACTCTGTTTGCTGGAAGGGAGAGCTTAGCAAATAGTCAGATTTTGGTGTTGTCTACAGATCTTAGTGTGCAAGGAATTCAAGAAAATACTGGCTGGGTGATAAACTATTAGTGAGCTGAGAAAAGAACAGGGCAAGAACAGGAAACAATATGTTTGGGGACACTAGCATCTGTTAAGGGGGCAAGAACAAGACAACACTGTAGGAATTCATCTTCAGAAAAGAAAATGTTGGGGATTTTGGTTTTTTGTATTTAAAGAAAAGCACCCAAACAGTGGCACCAGTTAAAATGGCAATAACCAGGGGTTAAAGAAAAAATGGTTGTGGCTCTTAACTACGGTATGTTCTTTGATGATCTTGTGTTCCACATTATCTAACTACTCTTCCTTTCATGGCACAACAATGAGAAATATGCTGTATGAGGATGTGGATGGAGGGAGGGGGTGGGCTAGCTGTTTGTCCATGTGGGAATTTCTCTGTAGCCACTACATGTGGTTCCTGTGCTACACTTTAACCACCCTGCTGGGAGCATAGGAACCTTATACTGAGCCAGACCCATGGGCCATACTTTTATAAATGCAGATGGCAACCATTTTAGGCGTGTCCAGTTGATGTGTGATCACTGATGTGCAGGCCTCCTGGACCCAGAAGAGGGTAAGAACAGGGGTGGAATGGAGGTGGGTGGAATGGACAGCGGGGGGCACTGATGCGTGCTCTGCCAACATGTGTGGGAGATGGGAATGGAGCCCCCACATGAAATGGCCATCACCTGTAAATACAGTGGTCCCTCGGGTTAAGAACTTAATTCGTTCTGGAGGTCCGTTCTTAACCTGAAACTGTTCTTAACCTGAGGTACCACTTTAGCTAATGGGGCCTCCCACTGCTGCCACGCCACCACCACGCAATTTCTGTTCTCATCCTGAAGCAAAGTTCTTAACCCGAAGTACTATTTCTGGGTTAGCGGCGTCTGTAACCTGAAGCGTATGTAACCCAAGGTAAAGGGTAAAGGGACCCCTGACCATTAGGTCCAGTCGTGACTGACTCTGGGGTTGCAGCGCTCATCTCACTTTATTGGCCGAGGGAATGGGCGTACAGATTCTGGGTCATGTGACCAGCATGACTAAGCCACTTCTGGGAAACCAGAGCAGCACACGGAAACATCGTTTACCTTTCCACCAGAGTGGTACCGATTTATCTACTTGCACTTTGACGTGCTTTCGAACTGCTAGGTTGGCAGGAGCAGGGACCGAGCAACGGGAGCTCACCCCGTCGCGGGGATTTGAACTGCCAACCTTCTGATCGGCAAGCTGGAGCTGAGATCAGCCATAGGCCTGATCCAGGTGGCTCTTCTTATGTTCCCAACCCTACCTGCAGGTACCATGGATTGCACCTGAGACCTTCTGCATGCAAAACACATGCTCTACCACTGAGGTACCACCCCTTCTCTGTGCACACACACAAATGCAGTGTTCTGGCACGAAATCTTACAAGTGCAAAACAGATTTGCCTCCACTGAAGAGTCTAATCAGGATGGGTGCCAAGAGAAGCCATGCCCCCCCTTCCCCAAGCCAGATTGACTTTATAGGCAAAGCAGCAGCCTCCATCTTCAGAAGTGGGGGGGGGGGAGAGAGAATGATGATGATGATCTGCAGCTGCAGAAGTCTGGCTCAAACTTAAGCTCCCCTTCCCCTCTAGTCCCCCCTTCTGGGCAGACAAGAGGGAAATTCCTTCAGCAGACCTATCATGGAAGTTTCCTTTCTCCCTTTAATTCATCACAGGAGGCAAGGCAGTTCCTCTCCCTTGCCATAAATCTCGTGGAGACGTTTGCTCTGTTAACAGCACAGCCCTTGGCTCCTCGCTCAGCTCTCTCTCCCTCTCCCTCTTGCTAGTCCCTTCCAGAGAAGGCAGAGACAGGCTGGGAAACCTTCATACACGTCACCAGAGGTGCAGCTCCCCAGATCTGGCAGCCTGACCTCACTCCACAAAGCAGACAAATGGTGAAACAAAACAAGGATGCGAAACACAAAAATTATATTGCTGCTACTGTATCGAAAGCATGGTGGATTTGATCACTGTCCTACAAGGATTATCCAAAAAAGACCAGGACTGATCATTTTCTAGAAGAGGCTGGGGAGGGCAGGATACAAATAAATTATTATTATTATTATTATTATTATTATTATTAAGCAACATGTCGAAAGTCTAGGCCAGGGTCAGGGTAAAAGAGTATTGGGAAATGATCCATAATGAATTTTAAATTGTAAAACAGAAAATTTAAAGGGGGGGAGTCTAAGCCAGGGCCCATGGGCTGCATGTAGACTGTGGCCCCCCACATCCAACCTGCACCCCTCGTTCCCTTCTCACCTCTCTGTATTCTAGGTAGTCTAGCCATCAGGCAACTTGAAATGTGCCATTAAGAGTGGCAAAGTGGGAGGAAGCCAGATCAGAACTTTAGTTCACAATTCACTGGGGGGGGGGGTTCTATTTTTTTCATTAAAATTTTGTTCCACAGTTTGTCTAAGGAGTTCGGTATGGAATAAAAGGTCTTCCTCTTTATCTTCCTTACAACAACTCTATGAATCATGCTAGGTTGAGAGGTGGTGGCAAGCCCAATATCACCCAGTGTGCTTTGTGCCTGTGCATTTGATGCAAGCAAATGAACCCGGGTCTCATCAGGGGACAAACTACATGTCACATTAGCATTCTGTGATTTGTTGTTGTTGTTTAGTCATTTAGTCGTGTCTGACTTTGTGACCCCATGGACCAGAGCATGCCAGGCACTCCTGTCTTCCCATGCCTCCCGCAGTTTGGTCAAACTCATGCTGGTAGCTTCGAGAACACTGTCCAACCGTCTCATTCTCTGTTGTCCCCTTCTTCTTGTGCCCTCAATCTTTCCCAACATCAGAGTCTTTTCCAGGGAGTCTTCTCTTCTCATGAGGTGGCCAAAGTATTGGAGTCTCAGCTTCAGAATCTGTCCTTCCAGTGAGCACTCAGGGCTGATTTCCTTCAGAATGGAGAGGTTTGATCTTCTTGCAGTCCATGGGACTCTCAAGAGTCTCCTCCAGCACCATCATTCAAAAGCATCAATTCTTCAGCGATCAGCCTTCCTTATGGTCCAGCTCTCACTTCCCAAAATAATTTTCTTCTTCAAAAAGCAACAGCATGAAGAAGAGGGGTTAACCCTTGGACACATGACAACACCCCAATTTAACACGCATCCAAATCTGCTATTGGCCACAGAGCTGAAAGCATAATAGAAACTTGGTAGGAGGCAACTTGGGTCAGGACCATGGCATGAGGAGGAAGCCTTATAACTTCTGTCCCTTTGAAGCATGGTCCCAATCCAAGCTATGCAAACCCTCCAAGTGTCCCTATTTTCCAGAGACAGTTCCAGATTTACAGAAGCTGTCTTGGTTTCTGATTTGATCCTGGAATGTCCCGCTTTTCCTTAGGACGTCCATAATTTCAAGGGAGAAATGTTGGAGGCTATGTATGCCTCCATGCCCAGTTTTTTAAGGAAGAAAAATACAGCTTGCTGTTTGGCTGAAACACTCCAACCACTACACCAGATGGCATCTCTTTGGGTGTAATGCTCTTGTCACAGCTCTCACTGCTGTCAGTGGGACAACTTCAGGATGCTTTCTTAGTAGACTGTATGGGAAGGAATATCATTAGGATTTCCCCCTATGGTCATCACCACCATGTTTTGCTCTGGCCATGAGAATTGACTATGGTCTCAGTAGGATAGATTGTGAATTACTGTCCTCTGAATTTAGACAACGGGGAAAGGGAAGCAACGGAAGTGGCATATTTAAATAGGGCAAAATAAAAAAATTCCCCATCCAAAGGCATACCTAACTGTGGAAATTACAGGTTCAAGAAACGCCCAAGGCTGCAAAATGGGGTGAGATATTCTAAGCCCATTAGATCTGACCTTTGAAAATGGCTCAGCAGACATTTATGTTTGGAAGCATTTAAGAACATGGATGTTAGGTAATATGATGAGATCAATGAAAACAAGGCAGCCCATGCCAGCAGGCTTACAGTCTAAAAGTCATCAGAACAAAGGGAAGTGGGGACAAGGAAGGAAGAGGAATACAAGCAAACTCAGTTCTTAAAGATGTAATGACCAGCCAGAATGGAAACAGTGCAGAGAGAGCAGGAGGCCAATGGAGATGGCCTCTTAGCAGAACCAATGAAACAATCCCATTTCTCCTCTCTCCTCTTTCTTCCTCCCAATAAAAAAGGGAGGGTGCATCACTGAAAAGGACAAAATAGGGTAGGGACTTACAAAAATTTGCATGGGCTATTTTGTAAGTTCACCATATAGTGGTTAGAGTCTTGGACTAATACCTGGGAGACAAGTATTCAAAACCCCAATCAGCCATGAAACTCACTGGGTGACTTGGGCCAGTCACAAGTCTCTCATCCTAACCTAACTCGCAGGCTTGTTGTAAGGATAAAAAGGGAGGGGATAGAACCATTGAGCTTCTTGGGAGAAATGTAATGAATAAAATAAATAAAATGAAACTATGGTGTGCTTGTCGGACCAATACATGCATACCTGAGGATTGCATTTCTCTGTAGGGGTGTGAGTGATTCCCCCCCCCCCTGCAATGCCTATATATTGTTAGGGACATGGGTGGCGCTGTGGGTTAAACCACAGAGCCTAGGATTTGCCAATCAGAAGGTCGGCAGTTCGAATCCCTGCGACGGGGTGAGCTCCTGTTGTTCGGTCCCAGCTCCTGCCCACCTAGCAGTTTGAAAGCACGTCAAAGTGCAAGTAGATAAATAGGTACTGCTCCAGCAGGAAGGTAAACGGCGTTTCCGTGCGCTGCTTTGGTTCGCCAGAAGCAGCTTAGTCATGCTGGCCACATGACCCGGAAACTGTACGCCGGCTCCCTCGGCCAATAAAGCGAGATGAGCGCCACAACCCCAGAGTCGGCCACGACTGAACCTAATGGTCAGGGGTCCCTTTACCTTTACTATATATTGTTATGTAATAATAATAATAATAATATCGCCTTCAACCCAAAGGGCCCGTGTGCTCTTCAGTGTGGTATTCATTACGAAGTCTGCCTTATTCCTTTTCAGGAGGATATTCATTGGTTTAGGGATTTGTTTTCAACATTGAAATAAATAGGGTGGCCCTTGTGGGCAGTGAAATGCTATCAAATCCCATGACTTACATTATTCGCTTTCTGGACTTAGGATAGAAATGAAGGAAAAAGTTGAAATCGTATCAGACTGAACCAACAACTAGTATCTAAATGTGGATGACATCAACAATACCTTTAATCTCTGCCCTTATCCATGCTCTTTTGCAGACACACCAGGTCTGAGGCAAGAGAGAAGCAAGCAAGAAGATTTAAGATTTCCACATTTAAACATTCAGTGCCGTTGCCTTTAAATGAGACTTAGAGGTTCCTGCCAAATAAATCGGATCAGCAGCACTTCCTATTTTGTGGTATGCTATTGCTGTTAGGTGATGGACAGTTATTGAAAGAATTCAGGACTAGGGTTTTCTCTCTCTCTCTTTTTAATGCTTCTAATGTGAACCGCTCTCAAGGTAACCATTACTATCTCTTAAAAACATTTTATTATGAAGGCAAATGTATGTTTTAGCAATGCTCAGATGGCTACTTAATGTCATGTTTATCCCAGGCCAGACACTCTCCGAAACAAATGAGAGTTTAAGATCTAGCTTTCCTTTTTGTTTAATGGAGCTAAAGTTGTTTAAATCATCCACTTCCATATAAACGTTTCACTTAAAACAAGCCGACCTATTCCTCTCCATTAAAAGTTCATTCATCAAAAACCAGGGAAAGGTTTCAGCAAGTTTCAAAGAGGGATTGGACATCTCTGTGGAGCAGCAAGAATAGCTAATAGTTTCACATCCTGGAGGAGGGGACAGAACGTGAAACCTCCTGCCTCAGGGCTATACCTGATCTCTACTCTTTCATTATGGGCAAGTGATCTCATCAAAGGTTGCGTACTCCCTCCCCCTGCCCCCCCAAGCTTCAGATGTACTGCCACACATGTGCCGGGGACAGGATATGAGTCTATAGGCGCCATATGTGCAACTCTGTGTGGCACGGCATTTGCCAAGGATGATCTCTGACAAGCACAGGATTCTTGGGAGCTAATGAGATGCACAAATGCAGGAAGCTCAGAAGATCACATTTCCTTGTACCCACACTGTATCATTAACACCCAAGATGTAGACCATAGGGAAATACATGTGTGTCCAATGTAGCAACATGTGAGGTGTTAATGCTGGACATGGATATATGCAGAAAGTATGACTGACAACAATTTGCTCATGCAGATAAAGAATTTGATACAGCATTTTTATCATTGGAGTACTACAATATATCCAAAACAATGGGAGAAATTGGAAGGATCTCAAAAGAGAAGATCGACAGGGATTGGAAGGTGTTTAAAGGATACTTGCAAAACCATATTGAAAAATCAGAACTCCTATTAGAATATCAAGTTCCGTTTTAAATACTGAAATACTAAATAAGATGGATAACAATGTGTAATAGAAAAAGAAGCACAAAATTAGGTTAAAGGTGTGTGAAAGAAAGTAATAGAAGTGGAAAGAAATTGCAATTGAGTAGATTGGAAGTCTAATACAAAGGTGGGGTGAGGGGTGGTGATGGGAAAAGGAATTATCTGTGGGACTGAATGTAGGTATGTTTGAATATTTTTAAGGATTGTATGAAATGTATGTTTGTATGCTTGTATATTCGCAATATGTGTGTATTAATGCTGAATTATTTTAACAATAAAAACTTTTCAAAAAAAAAGGAAAGCATTTCTGGGACTAGGTCACATCCATATCGTATATTTAAAGTACATGACCCCCCCCCTGCCAAGATAAAGTACATGACCCCCCCCAGGCCCAGATAAAATTACTTTGGGGGCCATATGTGGCGCATGGGCCACTTGTTGGCCATGATCCCAGACAACATGTGCATTTAGAGATACAGAAACATGTGTTCCTACCTTAACACACACAAGAGCACCCCAATTGTCTGCTTGGCATCTGTCACCTTTTCAATCTCATATTCTTCATTTGTGTGTGTTTTCCTTTTGAGATGTAAATGGCCGCACTTTGTTTCTGTGGAGTCTTCTTTCTATGAAATGATCCCAGCCACACATAGATCTGTATTCAGAGCATGCAAAGATGTGCACTTATCCCAGTTCTGACTGGCGGTTTGTAAATAAAGAAGTGCATGGCCTCTCTGGAAGTTCCTCTCCTTAGCCCAAGCTGGTTAATTTATTTGTATAAATTCTACGATTGCATTTTATGTTCATTTAATGGCTATTAAGAAGAGGAAAGATGCATTTTTATGTTCTTATGACTGGTTTTGTATCATTTGTCTGGGCTTCTCTGTAGCAAATTAATTTCATTACGATCGTTTCTTCCCAGATGTGTTTGCTGTTTGCTGTTTCTCTAAATAAAAACTAAGCAAGTACTGAAGGAAACAGGCCTGGTCTCTTTATACGATGACTGTGTTATTCTCTTACTTCTCCCACAGCCAAGGAAAATATCCTTGTCCTTCTTTTAAACTCTGAAGGGAAGAAACTAAATGCCCATGATCTATAAAAAGAAATCACACACACACATACACACACAAAGAGAAGAGGATACCACTTTGTCAGTTCCGCAGATGTTTTCCAATATCCTTCATTAAATCTGTAAAATTAAAACACATGGAACAAAATGTGCAATGCAGGCTGGCTAATAAGAGAAGGAAAAAGTTGTTAATCAAACATGTGGCCTTATAAAATAAAAGAAATAATTGGAAAAGATATCTAATTTGTCTATTGAATGCCTCCAACGCTCTCTTTATCACTTAGATGGACAGAATATAATTGGTACGGTGAAAGCCATCAATCTTCGCAACTGGGCTTCCTGAGCAGACTACAACTATTACTGTCATATTATGACACCATAATATCAAGATCAATGTTGTTTTAAATGCACTCCAGTTATGGGCAATTGGTGACAATAAAAACAGTGACAAATTGATGAAACAAGCATCAAATGATCGGGTGTCTAAAATAAACCATAAATAATCTTTAGGGTCTCTTTTTTTTGTTTTCATTTTTAAAGAAAGAAAAGAAAATAGCCATCGAATTCACAGTCACCGTTTGTTTGTGTGTTTGTAGATGTGGACAGATTTGACTTCCACGACGGATCAATCTACTCTAAATGTATTTTTGGTTCTGCGTTATCTGGCAAGATGCCATTCCATTGAAGGGAGAAACTTTCTGATTTGATTTAAGGGTCATTCCACACCACGTTCATAATGTCATGTTAGCATTACTGCGACCATAAGGAGGGATTAGATAATTTAAAACCAAAAGTAGGCAAGCTATTGTGTGGATGAGCAGTCTCCGCAACTGGATGATAAACATGAATGCTTATAAAAGAAAATGGGGTACATACACACTGTGCATTTAAAGCACTCCCCCTTCAAGAACCTTGGGAACTGCAGTTTACCCCTAGGGAACTACACTTACCAGCACCCTTAACAAACAGGGTACTTGGGGAGGGTGCTTTAAATATATGGTGCATACGCAGCCTTTCTACCACCCATCCTTCCTCAATATCATGTTTGTGGGTGGAGGGGAAGGAAAAGCCAAGTCTCTTCTTCAAAACCTGCCCCTGCTCCTTTCCACTCTCAGCCAACCATGACCTCCAGACCCTGAAAATATACCATCCAATATTTCTCTGGTGAAAATGCGGGCGTCCTATTCAACAACATCAGCACCGTCAACAATAACGTTGTTGTTGTTGTAACCCACCCATCTGACTGGTTTGCCCCCCCCCCCCGGCCAGCTTCCAACATATATAGTAGTAGTAGTAGTAGTAATAATAATTTATTTATTTATTTATTTATACCCCACCCATCTGGCTGGGTTTCCACAGCCACTTTGGGTGGCTCCCAATAGAATATGAAAAACACAATAAAAGATCAAACATTAAAAACTTCCCTAAACAAGGCTGCTTTCAGATGTCTTCTAAAAGTCAGATAGCTGTTTATTTCCTTGACATCTGATGGGAGGGCGCAGTGGCGTAGCGTGGGTTGTCAGCACCCGGGGCAAGGCAAGTAATTTGCGCCCCCTAACCCGTGGATTTCCGCCCCCTAACCCGTGGATTTCCGCCCCCTAACCCGTGGATTTGCCCTAACCCCAGATGTTGCGCCCGGTGCGGCCGGCCCCCCCTGCACCCCCCACGCTACGCCACTGGGAGGGCGTTCCACAGGGCAGGCGCCACTACTGAGAAATAATCATAATCATAATAAATAAAACATAATAAAACATTCAACCTTAAAAACTTCCCTATATAGGCTGCTTTCAGATATTTTTCTAAAGGTTGTACGGTTACTTATCTCCTTGGCCTATGGAAGTTGCATAACTCCATACCCTCCAACATTTCTCTGAAGAACATGTGGATGTCCTAAGGAAAAGTGGGGCATTCTGAGATCAAATCAGAAACCATGGTGGCTTCTGTAAATCCAGGACTGTCCCTGGAAAAGAGGGACATTTGGAGGGTCTGTGAAAAGGAAGCAAGGCAGAAGCTGCATTTAGGACCAAGACAAGGAAGCAGCCCTTTGCACTGGGACCTTCTTTCCTTTCTCCTCATGATCCTGGCTAGAGAGGGGCTTTTCAGGGCAGCTTTCAGACCACATTTCCCTGTTTCCCTACAGCCCTGAAGTTGCCTTCAGAAGGGGAAAGAGTGTTTGAGATCTAAGAAGTAGGGCCATCTCACCCATGAGGTGGACTGAGGCAGCCGCCTCAGGCAGTGGAATCCAAGGAGAGGCACCACTGTGAGTGCTCCCCGCCACCACTGGAGAAACAAGGAAAAGCAACTGGGTGTTCTTGGCTCCAGCGAGATCTCATAAGAGACCCAGAAGCAAATCCCTGTGGTAAAAAGAATCCAAGAAAAGCATTAGTATCAGGTCTGCATCCTACCTGGGGTCCAATTCAGAAGGAGGTAAATGAGGGCCAGATAGACTTGAGGCAAGAGAAGTGGCCATGGATGAGCTGGAGATCAGGTAATGAAGAACCAGAGACCAGAGGTGGGAAAAACAGCCACAGACAGGCTGGAGGTTAGATACCAGATCATGGGGTGAAGAGTTCTGCATTTGTCTTAAATGTAAGAGACTGAAGGAGCTGACTTGGGACAGCAGCACAGGAGTTAAGGTGCTGGAGGCCCAGGTTTGAGACACACACCATACCCCCCAACATTTCTCTGATGAAAATAGGGACGTCCTATTCCATATCCTCCAACATTTGTCCAGTGAAAATAGGGACGTCCTATTCCATACCCCCCAACATTTGTCCTCCAACATTTCTCTGATGAAGATTTTGTTGTTGTTTAGTCGTCTTAGTCGTGTTCAACTCTCCGTGACCCCATGAACTAGAGCATGCCTTGGAGACTCTCACTTTCTTCTCAAAGGTTCTCCTTTTTTATGTCCATAGAGTTTTCTTGGCAAAATACTGGAGTGGATTGCCAGTGGATTCTCCAGGTGGATCACATTTAGTCTAAACTCTCAGCTATGACCTGTCCATCTTGGGTGGCCCTGCTTCTTGGAGTTATTCAAGGCAGTGATCCATGAAGGGGCTGATGAAGATAGGGACATCCTAAGGAAAAGCAGGACATTCCAGGATCAAATCTGAAATCAGGATGGCTTCTGTAAATACGTGACTGTCCCTAGAAAATAAGGACACTTAGAGGGTCTGACACACCACAGGCTTTCAACTAAATTTCTATGTCTAGGCAGAATTTTTCTCACAGATGTCATATTCTAGCATGCTGCCTCCTTCCCTGCTCCTTCAGACTGAAATGGTGCTTTTCAAGAAAATATAATTTGATTCTACTTAATGCATAAACTGACCATCAGTCTAACTATTTAGCCCTGGTCATTTGCCAGAGTGTTTTGCCTCCTGCGCATCATTTGAAGACCCAACTACACATCAATATGAGGAGGCCATCAAAAATGGCAGCCCTCTGTCAAGTTCATCTCCCTTCCCCCAAAATGCAAGGGTGGCTAATCAGTTGCCCTCCAGACAACAGTTTCCTTCAGCCTTGACCCTTGGGTCTACTGGCTGGGGAGGATGGGAGCTGTAGTTCAACAACATCTAGAGGGTCACAAGTTAGCCACATTTGCTGTGATGTTGGGTCAGATTGGCCTTTGATGGTTCCCTGACATCTCTCTCTGTTCCTGACAGCTGCAGCAAATGATGTGGAGGGGTGGGGGTGGAGAAATGATATGGACAAGACTGGTTTTATGGGGTGATGTAATGATAAAGTTTGTAATTTAGAGATACTCCCCTGGTATTAAGAAGCTGGTAACATGAGGACTTGCCGTAAGGTCACATGATCATCTGGGCAGTTCCAAAGGCCCAGAAGTTGCTGC